TTTTCTTGGGCTTCATTCTGACTCCATGCACATGAAACCTCCTTGTCTGCACAATAAATCCCCCTCCTGCCTCTGAGAGCGCAGTGCAGCATGGTTTGCATCCTACTGGACTCATGTGAGCATCGGTGCCATAAAACCAAGCCCACCTTCCTTTCTTCAACAAACACCTGCAGCAGCACCTCAGAGAGAATAACAGGAGCACAGACTTGGGAGCCTTTCCTAGGGAAACCATCCCTGTTTCCTGGGAAGAGCAGGCACTTACTTTCTTGAGAATTGTATCTACATCCACATTAGCAGTGTAATAACCTCTGGCAACCTTGACTTCCATGAATTTGTGGAGTCTTACCTTTGAATACGTGTTTTCTTCTGTACAGTATCCTGTACTTTATCATTTAACTGCCTGCTCTCTAACAAAAAATATTAAAAAAAAAAAAACACCAACACCTGCTGCCCGGTATTCTTTAAACAGAACAGCTCTATTTTCTGTTTCAAGAAACAGAGGTCAGTCCTCCTCAAGTTCCCTTTTGTGTACTACTCCAGTTTCTACCATGTCTTCTTCTGGCATCTTGTCCCCATGCTTGGGGATGTTTGATGTCTTCTGCTATGGAAACTTCATATGCTTGATTGTCTTACTGCCTTTCTCTACATCTTCTGTAGTCTGGAGACTACAGATCTACTTTTTTGGAGACAAGGAGAACCTGAACTGAATGCAATGTTCCAGATGTGGGTTCATCACAGATTTTATTCAGTGGTTTATCATGCTGTTCCACCACGCTGTTTGGCTATTCTTGCTTCTAATAATTTCTGGTGTTTGTCATCGAAGAGCTTCCCACTGTGCCTCCAAGATGTTTTTTCCATTTGATTACATCCAATTTAGAGAATATCCTTGTGTTCACAGCTAAGGATGTGCCATCTGCAGTACTCTGCAATTATTCACACTAAATCAAATCTTCATTTTATCATCATCTGCTAACTTAGAAATCTGAGAACCTTCTGTATTTCTTCACAGTTAGCTGTAGGTTGGACTGCCCTCAACAACTGTTTATCATCCACAAGTGTTATCAGTTCATTAGTAATTCCCTTTTCCAGATCACTCAGAAATATGTTGCACAGCATTGATCCCATTCTGAGATCTTTGGGACACCTCCTCACAAATTTCCTTCAAGGAAACAGACAATTTCTTCTTACTTTTGTTTCTTAACTAATTCGTAGGATGACTTTTCCCCTTCTCACATGCCAGCCTAGTTTCTTTCAGAACATTTCCCCAATCTATCCACATTGCTGCCTTAGTATCCGATTAGCTCTTGGCCCTTGCTAAGGTGGGATTCCTGTTACTGATTTGCTTAGAAAATGTCCCCATTTGTTTTTGCCATACTATGGTTTTACATCTAACCCCACCAGAATTCACACCCTCTTCTATTTTTTTAGTTCAGATTTCACTCCTACAGTTTAAAGACTATGTTTTTTAACTCCTGAAATCTCATTTACTCTCGTTTAGCAATGGTAGTTTTTTTCCAGGTGTGGCAGCAGAGGGACAACCTTTTAAAAATTGATTTAGATTCACTCTGAGACTCCGCTGCACATCTAAACATGATGCAAGACCGCATGATACCTTCAAGCATTTTAGCTTCCAGCTGCTCCTTTTACTTACCCTATTCTTGCTTGCTTCCTAATGCTTACAATTTCCCCCTTTCAAACTGAAAAACACTGCAGTGGATTTTCTGTACTATGGCATCACTTTGGCAAACCAGAATTCTCCTCTCTCCTCCCTGGAAAGACCAGAACCTGCACCACCACACTTTCTGTTTGTACCCAGCCCCTGAAAGTTATAGTAATTGCAGTGCAAAATCTTGCTGCTGAAGACTTAAAAACATAATGTACATTAAAGGGGAAGATGTCTGTATCTAATTCTGTACAAAACTGAGAACAGAATGAAAGTATAAAGTATGAACCTAAATACAGACAGCCCAAATGCACCATCACAGAGCTTGCCACAGAGCATAGTAACACTACAGAACTGGCAGAGAAATATCAGTGTTAGTTTTAAGAAAAAAAAAAAAACAAAACACATTAAGAGAGTTATCCTTTATCCTTCAGAAAACAAAACCTAGGATGTTCTTTTAAAAAAATCAAGGTAGTGAAATGAATCACATTTAACCAATTAAGCCCTAACCTTACTTTTCCTGAAGCATCTTAATGAAAAAAAACCCACTAAGAATCAATGTGCTATGACTTCATCTCTTTATTTTCTGTCACATTCTATTTCCTGTGAATACAGAAAAATCTATTTCCTTTTATCATATTTAAGGTATCACAGCTAAAAATATACCATTTTACTAATTTTTGAGCAAAATTGCTTTGGTAAATAAGTCCTTGAAGTATTATGCAATCAAGATTTTAAGAGTTTGTACCATTGGCTTCAAAAGGCACATGTAGGCTTTTCTACACACAGTAGTTTTGGACAGAAAGGTGTGCACTAAACATGATAAGAACAAGTGTCTTCATATGCTAAAGGTTTTTATCTTTCCTTTCTGCTTCTTTTCAATGAAACAAAGAGACGTAGCTCAAGTATTTGAGTTGTCAGGAATACTAGCATTGTCAAGTCCACCTAGCTGAGGAACAGTGATTTAATTAATTTTCCTCGTCAGCTAAATTCAGCTTAATGAGTTTGCATCTATTGGTTGTCAGAGCATTGCGTTGGTTCTCAGATTTTAAACATCGATTTCAGTACAGCTTTAAAAGAAGAAAGGAGAAGTTTTGTGAGGAGAGATGTTTGGTAGGGAATCAATTAAAGAAAATCAGTAAACCTGGAGAACTGATATGAAACCATCCCTCCAGAGCCTCTCTACAGAGTACTGCTTAATTCGGTTTAAATTGGTTTTGGTCAGGATTTAAACACATCGAGTCAGAAGCTCAGCCGGGGCAAAATTGTACCAGCTCCAGAACCAGTCTTACAGATCAAGTAATAAAAGAGAAAAATGAAAAAACTAAAGATAAATTATTTATAGTTTTGTCAGTCAGTTTTGGGGATAGGTTTGTGTGAGGTTTTTTTTAAATTCTGCTTGAAAGCAAATTTTAAAAACCTGGAAGTTTTTAAATTTTTTAAGACTATCCAGATTTTTGTAAATGTTGCTGTTTAAACAACTTTGTCCCAATTTTGCAGAGAAATTCCTATATTTACTTGTAAATAGACAGCATTGGATTCTTTATTAAGTTAGTATCTCCAGCTCCATCCCTTCTTTTAGCTAATCCCCCCGGCTTTTTCAAAAAGTAGCATACTAGCTGGGATCTGAAATACCGCTTGGGGAAAACAGCAATAGAAACAAGACAAATTTTACCCTGAAGAAGATTTTAGAGAAATTAGGAGAATTCTACCAGGAATGAACTTGGCTCAGCCTACACAGAGGCACTACGTGCCCCATGTTTAGTAAGGCTCGTTATATTGCCAGTACAGTGTAACATTTTATCTGCTCTCTTCGGATCCACATGTGTATTTAGCCCTTCTGCTTTTGGCTCTTGCAGGAGGGCATGGGGAGCTGGGGGCAGCACTTTGGTGATGCTGGAAAGTTCATCAAGATAGAGCTTGAAAAAAGGAAGGTATAAAATGCAAACTAAGCAGGACATGTAATCAACAGCCTCCTCTCCTATGAAAGTAATTTTTTTACTTAACAGGAGGGGTAAAGCTGGGAGGGAGAAATATCAGAGTGCAGATATGTTTTGGACAGACTCTGCCCTTAACAAACATTCACATTCTCTTAATATGCCAAAACCTGTTAATCGAGATGGAAAAATGCAAATAGCTAAGCTGGTCAGAAGAAAAGACTCAGCTCACAAAGATGACATAAGAAGTTGGTTCTATGGACATTTAAAAAAAAAAAAAAAGTCTTTTTTTCCCTGTTCTTTCAACTGCTTTGGAATAAATTTTAGATATTCTTTTAAGAACATTCTGAAAGAAGTAAGAGAAACAAGCTTGTGCTCTCTAAGATATAAAAGAATATAATTGTAACAGAAATAAACAGATAATCTAATGGGCAATATGACTGGGCATTTTTGAATTTTTTAAGGCTGTCCTGTTTTTGCAAAGCAGCATTTTACACATTTTTTAGTCCAACCTTCTGCAATCCATATTTCAATATCAGTTAGACCGAATCTACAGGAATCCAAGTATTATTTTATTTTGGTAATAAAGGACAAGAGGAATACATTATTGTGAATTTGTTCCCTTTGAAAACTTTATCTATGAAAAGAGAAAACCATCATGTTTAAGACGGCAGAGCTTTAAAATACCCATTTCATATTCAATGCTGAGTTGAACTGCATTGGTTTTATATTTTCCTAAGCATTTATTTATAAAATCATACAAAAATAATTTTCTAACACACAAGAGAATATGCCCAGGCTATATATTCACTTACTTCATTCGGTTTTAAAAAAAGCTGCACCCCAAAAAATAAAGCTACTTTTAGTTACGAACCAATACACAGATTAAAAAGACTAACTTTATTTAACTTTTTTTTTCCCCTCCATCACTGGTAGTACTCCAGTTTGAACAGTACACTGTTTGTTCTTGCTTTCTTGCTGCCCCTCCCCAGCGCGAGGGACATCCGCCTGAAGCTCAGAGGAGGCAGTAAATGAGTGTAAGATGAAAACCCACCATGTTTCCCTACTTACCTCTCATTGATGTCCTGCAACGCAGCTCCTCCCCAGTGCTGCCAAAATGCCCTCCGGGTCTTACCCAGGCTTCAGTCTCTTACACCCGGAGTCAGGGCGCTCTGCTCTCCCCACACTGCATCGCTCTCCCGTTACGGCGAGCCGACCCAAAAAGGGCCACTATTCATTCACCAGCTCTTCACCTTGCACCCCAAGGAGGGAAGCACCCTTTTGTGGACCCTCTGCTCCCGGACCTCTCACAGCCCACTTTGTCATCGCTCCTCTCTTCTACCTGATCAAACCAAGCGTGCCCTGGCACCGGACAGGTTTCTGATCAATAAGTTACTCTGTTTTACATGGTTCAAATTTAAGCTTTTATTTGGTTTTTAAATTAAAAAAATAAATTTCATTATTAAATAGTGGAATGGGTCTAAACTAACATTTACATATTAATTCACTTACTTTAGGATATCACCAGAGAAATAATTAAAGTATACCACCCAGACAAAACTTTCTGTTAGAAAGCTCAACAGTGGCATAATTCAGTTAAACAGAAAAAAACAACCCCAAAAGTTTTAATGTTTACAATGCACGTTAGAAGTAAACCTCTGGTTTTAGTGTCATCCAAATCTAGATTCCATCACAAAGGCAGTCATTGTATTCAGAATACTATACCACAGTGCTAATGTCATCGGCTTCGTCTGGTTTCTTTTGCCTGCTTGGCAGGGATTTCAAGTACTCAAGGTGCCTCCTTGCATCCTCCTGATTTTGCCGGACGTAATAAACCACATATGAGATCACCATGGTGAACCAGCCAAACATGGTGACCAGCATGGCGTAATCGGTAGTCTTTTTAGGAAGGTTGCAGAGGTCAGCATCGTTGGCAGCGTTGAGGAACGGTCTACCAGCGTGTTCATCCAGCACAGAAGTCTGGCAGATGACGTTGTTGGCTGTCTCATGGTTGGAGGCCATGCTCCTCAACACCTGCTGCAGCGTGCAGTCACAGTGCCAGGGATTGTTTGCAATTCTGGCTCTGGCCTTTAAGTTGTTGAAAGCGTTTTTGTGTACACTTTTAATCCGGTTGTCGGACAGATCCAGAGTCTGCAAGGTTTCTGCCACCCCTTTGAAGGCATGTTCATCTATAAACTCAATCCCATTTTTTGATAAATTGAGGACTCTCAGTTGGTGCAAGTCCTTAAAAATTTCGTTGGGGATAGATGTTATCTGATTGGAGTCCAAATAAAGTAACACTGTTTCTGGTGGAAGATCTCTGGGTATCTCCTTGAGGTTCGCATTGCTACAGCTGACGTTCAGACCTCCGGAGTGAGAACAGAGGCAGCCTTTCGGGCACATACTGGCAGAATGAAAGCACAGTATCATGAGGACAAAACTTTGTAAGAGCAGACACATGGAGAGGGAACGAGTTAACCACAGGTCTACCAAATGCATGCTGGGGTGTCAGCATAATCACACGACCATTTCTCATTCAGCCAACAGTGACGGGAAAAGGATTGGCAAAGCTGGAACGTGGCTTCATTTTCTTCAGTGGGATCAGTGAAAACGGATTAACATGTGGGCTTCCTCATCGTTGGTACTCTTCTTAGAAGCACACCTACAGAGAGGAAGGAAAACAAGTTCCTTATACCACAAACTCCAATCCTTTCATTGAAAAAAATAGAAATAAAATGAAGTCAACACAAAGTGCAACACTAAATAAATGATCCATTATCCTATCAGTGCACCAGAGGATTTATTTAGGTAACTCCTATTAGCATTAATCTGAGTTTAGTACATAAATCATCAGTACATTTTTAAGAGGATAGACTACACTTAACTACAAATTGCACAGGTTTGGGCTTTAATACTTATTAGACGAGGCATCAGTTTGTTTTTATCACAGACTCTTCTAAAACAGCTATAAAACTAAATTACGTTTTCCCTTGCTAAAGTAGAAGATGCATTAACAGGAGCTAAGAGTTGAATCTCCAGCACAGTGACAGGTAAGTGAGGAATTTGTGGTGGTTACTGTGAACTTATCTCTAAATAATTTATTCTATTTTAAGTCCAAATCAAAGTACTTCAGAAAGGAAATATTTTTACTAGATCAAGAAACAAAAATTAAGTAAATCAAATGCTACTGAAAGACACCACAAACATCCATCATCTCATTGTTTTTTTCTCCCTTTTTCTCTTCTGCTTTTGACCTGCTTTTTGATTTCCTGTACCTCCCAGTGTTTTGTGAGACACTGCTGTGAGGCCCATAGAAATCATTTCTACTTGCAGTTTTCTTGAAAGTTTCCTTTTCATTGAACATAGAGAAAAAGAAATGTAACATTCACCAAAAACTCACATCCCTCCAAACCAAATAAAAGTCACACAAACCTATGTACGGGCCAAACAACAAAAAAAATCTTATTCATGGCATGTAATTTGCTAATAGAACACGAAAAATAAGATTTCTGCTTCTCTCCTCTCTAGTTGGCTTAAAAATAGTAAATATCAAGAAGCTTTTCCATTTTCTCCTTTAATTGGAGCACAACTACAGAAGTCTGAAATGCTGACCTATAAGGTTTCAAAGACAACCTCATTTATTTTTTCCCTTATTACAGTAAACTATGAATTTTCCAACCACAACAGGTTCATTTGTTTTCATGTACATGCCCTCCGTCTTTCTAGCAGCTTAGATATTTGCAGCCTTCAGGTTGTATTTACATATAAATGATTTTTTTTTTTTCTGAACCCACAGTGTAGTCCACTGAACAACAAAATCTCTGCAGGGAGGATATGTGTGATTCTACAGGAAAAATAAGAAATTGCATTGCAATCATTTTTGCCTGCAGAACTCACATAATCACTGCAGCTTATGGCACACCACAGTAACATGGATCAGATGTGTCATGCAGTATTTCAAACCCATAGCTCCAGTTTATTTAACCCTTTTGCTGAGGCTTACTGTGTCCGTAACCCCACATAAAAAAAAAAAAAAACCACAAAAAAAAACAACAAACCAAAACATCTTAATAACATGTACATTATGCGTGAGGCTTGGGAACGGCAGAAGCTCAGCACACTCTCACTGCAACTACTGCAAAGAGCAGTAGTTTATCACAGCCACTATATCACTGTATCACAGTCACCTATTTTCTCTTCCCTTCATGTTTGCATGTCTCACTACTGAGCTGCACCAGAAGAGTAGATGAGTGGTCCAGCTCATCATCACAGAATAAGCATCTCATCACTGACTACTTGTATACAGTGGCTTTCCACCAACAATTCTGGAGTTCTATTGCAGGAATGGACTGGGGTGAAAGAGTAAAGACCTGAAGTAGATGCTTAATTTTGTGGAAGGATAAAAATCACACTGTTCTCACCAGAGTGTGATGATTAAATATCATATTCAGTTCCTTACAGGCTAAAAATAGCCTGCCAGCCTGGAATTACACCGTGGAACTTGCTGAGTCCTCCATAGTGCCACCAGATATCACGTGTCAAAGATGGCCCATGCACCAAAACCAATGTAGCACATTTTCATCCCACTGAAGACAAATTAAGCTCTTTTCCTTAATGTATTAATGTATTTGGAGTGGAAGAACCGGGATCATTACAGACTAAGCAGCAAAGTGTTTAGTGAAGCAAAGCCTCTTCAAAAGAGATAACTAAGGAAATGGATAAAAAGAGAGAAAAAAATCCCAATGTTCGAAGTTGTTGGAAAGAGCGAATACAAGTTTAAACTCGTAATTAACAACCCAGTCAACAAAACTTAGCTGAGCAAGAATAAAGCTCAGCAAATTCTCAGTAAATTAACTGGAAGCAGCCCAATGGGCCTGAGCATCAGTCAGGGAAATCAGAGCTTTGTTTACTTCCATAATCAGAATTATCTGATTCAAGGGATATCTGAGGTTTGAGTCACCAACAAACTTACAGCAAGGACTTTCTTGATTCAGAGGCATCCTAGTGACTGCAACAAGAGAAAAAGAGAAGTAGGATCTGCACATCTGTAATGCCAAAACGAGGACCTTTGGCTTCTTGAGCATCTACCCAATTTTCTGCTTAGAACACAATAAATAAAGAAGAAGGTAACAAAGTTGGAGTAAAGACAAGAGATATATACCAGACAGAAAAATTAAAGACTACAGAGAAAGGGACAGAAGACACCGAATTAAAACAAACATATGAATTAATTAGAAATCCTTCAATAAAGAAAAAGATGAAAAACTAAAAAGTAAACGAAGGTACAGGGAAAAGACAGCAATACTACAAGCACAGGTGACAGCACGGTGTAAGAAGGCTTTTTGTGCCCATTTCTAAAATACAAGTACAAACATAAAAACCTAACGTACAAGTCAAATATTGCAGGGCAATAAAACTACAGAGGGGAGAATGCACCAAAGAATTCTTTACAGTCTTGCAATTTAAACTGGTTTTCAAGCTTTCCTCTTCTCATGCTCCCCCAAGACCATTCACTCAGTACAAACATCCAACAGCATACAAAATGCACAAATCTTGAAATCCTCAAGGAAAGCACATTTGCTTTTAATACAGTGAGATTTCTACTGAGCTTCAGGTGTCAAGTACTTATGGATGTTTGCCTTCCAGCAAGCACCATGCAGAGACTGTGTCTTAGCACCTCAATGCCATACTACACAATTAGGTATTTGATTAACTATTCCTCCCCACAAGAAATGAGTGAGGTAAAGAAGCATTAATGCCTCCAACTACTCCCTTGGAAAAAAGGGCCAGCAGACTTAGGCAAGTCACATAGAGAGTCCACGACAAGACTACTTGCAGTATTAATTTATGCTGTTGTGTCTTCAGAGCAAGATATAGGAGGATAGGAAATCCTATAACCATTGCACAGAACAGCATAAAAATGACACAGACTTCAGAGTTTTTGTTGTTTAAGACAATGCTAAGACAACAAAAGATGCATTAAAAAAGAATCAATCATATATGTAGTTAAAGATGTCTGACTCGAGAAGGGGAAGGGCAAGAGGAGGTAGAAGTGGTTTCTTCTACAGTGTAGAGACTCTCATGGTCCACATGGCAGGTCTTTGGTCATTACCCAAGTGCTTACATGCATGTGGGTAGTTCCTCACTGGCCCTCCACACAGCCTCTGCCCCCATAAAAAGTGAGAGTGCAGCAGCTGCCAGCACCTTGCACTTGAAGGTCAGCCAGGGGACTTAAAAGTAGAGACTACAATCAGCCTTAAGAGGTATTCTGCCTATAGTATTTTAAACACACACACACAACCCCCTCAACCATCGGGATCAGCTTACATCTCCACCAAGATGAAGTCAGCTGAGTGTTGACAACACTCTTCCCGGAAATTTGTTATCTTCCAGTTGGAGGAGAGAGATTTACTCCCTGCTTGTTCATCACATTATATATCTAGATTTCAGCAGGGTGCTTCAAAGATTACTTTCTAGCACTAGAAAAATTACCTGTGACAGCCAAATATCTTTGTTCGAATCAGTCTAATATCACACTTTTACTTGGAATTTCACCTGAATTCTCAGACATTTTCAGGTGAATTCACAAACGCTTCTGTTGAGGTGAGATCAAGAACATCACCCTTTTCCTGATGGTTATTCATCAAGCAAGATCTCACATGATAAAGACAAACCTATGATCCAATGTATTTAATATAAATGTCTTTGCGGGATGATTCCTATCTTAAACCACAGAAATAAAGGCCATGAATGAAGTCTGTAGAGCTGGATCACACAGGTCCATGCCAATGTAAGACCCCCCAGACTCACACACAGCATCATCACTAGTCTTGCTTGTGGTTAAACACTGACAAGAAGAATTAGCAGCAGCTCCTCAGTCAGTATCACATGGGCCTTCAGCGGATCACAGATTATAAGGACTCTTCAGTGACAAAAGAGAGGGGAGGATTTTCAATTTTTGTTGTTGTTACTGTTCACAAACAAGCAGAAATGGGAAAATGGAGAAAGATATGATCCTAAAAAACATTCTTGTTCTCTAAGCCAACCAGCACAGGCATTGTGCAGAATTTACTCTTCTAGCAGTAACAATTGGATAAATACTGCAGGTATTTTGGAAGATGCTCTTTCTTTGGGATGTGACGTCATGTGACACTGAGAAAAAAAGACTGAAGGTGCTATGGTATCAAGCTGCAGCTGAAGCATGGTCTCCTTTTGAGCACAGGGTCCAACAGAAGGCATGCTTCTTCCCAGCATGTTCCTGTCTCTACCCACTACGCAGTGTTCCCTCTCTTTCCACTCCAAGGGCTGATGGGCTGATCATAGCTATTTGATCGATAACAGATCAGATCAGTCAGCTGCATCTGCCCCCTCGGAGCCCAACCCCAAGAACTGGGGAGTGCAGCACTGTCAATGGGCAGAGCACAGTCCCAGCTGTACAAGAAGTTTTTGTCCCCCTGGTTAGGTTCAGAGATTGCATGGGACTACAAAGCCATGGCACACAATGAGTTAAAAAAAATCAAAAGGCAGAAGTATGCAAGGTGCCCAGCAGATGAAGGGGGACTGCAGCGGTGTCCCAAAAGCATGAGTGATGCTGAAGGCAACTGCAGTAGCACTGGGATCCTGGGGAAAGCAGTGAGGGTACAGGAGCAAGGCAAGCT